AGAACTCGTTTTACGTTTCACAATCGATCGTTGGACAAGTTTTCGTCGGATAGGGATGTCTAGTCTTACTGACCTTTCACATTGAAGATGTTTTATCGTTTCTGTCGAATCATTTTGTTTCCCTGTAGGGCGAGCTGATTTAGTTTTCTCGGCGATGACATAAATTTATCGAAAAAAAGTTTGTTTTAAACTTACGATCTACCGCCTGGAATTGCAGCAGCAATCTATCAAACTCACGAGAATTGAGATAGATGGCTGTCCTATTGATTTGAATTTTTTCTATAGTCGTCCTCCTCCCACTAGACACCCAGTGGACGAATTTGAATTTGAACCAGAGCACACCGACTGCAGCGGAGCGCGCCATCTGCAGCCCTTACTTCAATCATAAACAGCTTTTTTGTGTTCTCCCGACGTTTCATTGTACTTTTTGAATGCAAGCAGCTTTTTTTCATTTAGGATGGAAGACTTTGTTGCCTGTAAGCGAAGTTTCATGCTGTTATACTCGTTTCAATTCTGACTCCAGATTGAGCTTGGAAAAACGACCAAGTTTGGAAAGTATGCTAGTGAAATCCTTTTCGGTAAGTGTCCTGAAGTGTTGCTCCATAGGTCTTCTAGTCAAAAACTCCTCAAGTGCATAGTTTTTCTAACCTTACCTGAAAATGGAGCTGAAGAAACGGGCACAGAAGTATGAAACATCTGGGCAACAACAAACTCGTCGATTCTGATTTGAAAGAGTAAATAAAACAAAAAAGAATCACCATGCAACGACGAGATAACACAAAATAATACTCCATGAGCTTGAAATGGATGTGACTGTGCCGCGCTCTGCCGCGATCGGCATGCTCTAGTTCAAATTCAAACTCTTCCACTAGGTGTCTAGTGGGGGGAGGACGACTATACAATAATTGTTATTAATTGCGAAAAAAAGATGTAAATAAAAAATGGTTCCCATTGCTTCATTCATTTCTAAGAGTTTCCCAGCCCAAACTTTGCACAAGTTATCATCTATCTATATTTCAGATAAAACTCGTATTGATCGAACTTTTATTTACCGTTAGTATGTCCGCAGTTCAAAAACATTCATAGTACTTTTCCAAATATGGGATATGATTCATAGCACCTTTGCAAACAACAAGTGTGAGTCCTGTTTACCTCGCATTCCCGAGCACACATCACCTAAAAAGTCCGTTTTCCACTCCTTTCCGAAATCCATGAATTTCCCCGTTTTTTTAAATAAATTTTGATTCTATTAGAAGGAGAAAACCATGCCATTATAAGTTTGTCCAATGTAAATTGATTGCTGACGTATCGTAATTTTTTCCTCAAAAATGAGCCTTCGGACTTGGCAATTTTGGGATGTGTGGCAAAAAATGATAATCGGTAACATTCACGATAAATATATGAGGTGACCTACTAATCTTTTCTCCTTATAGTTTTGTGCTAATCGGATGTTTCTTATTGTAAGGAACTTTATTATGTGCCGGGTAAAAAAGTTATTTTGTCACACTTTCCAATCTATACCGGTGTTGGATTTTTATCTCCTCCTTCCAACATTTTTTTGCGTCCAAGCTAAAAAACTGTGAGACTTGTTTAATTTATCATCATGTTTGTACCTTCGTCAAACGTAAACAATGGACTAGAACTAGAAGAGCTCTTGCGCATAATTCGCCTCAAAATTCAGAGGCCATGGGTCTTCTCAACTCATTGTTAGACTTTGGTATTTTTTGCATTTTTCTATTTGAATGATTCTGCAGAACAGAAATCAACTCAATTATGACAACCGACATGCCGGATGTACAATTTCTATGGCTGTACCCAGATATTAAACTGTGTCACAAAATCTAAGGAAAAAGTGTTTGTGAATTTTGCTTTTTTAAAAAATTTTCAAGATGATAATGAAAAAAGGTAATTTTACAGGCTAAGGGCAAAACGTTTAGGACAACCCGATACTTCCACAATTCTGCTAATCTGCACTATCTAATGTATGTCCGATTATCTCTATTCGGACAAATATCGCTAAACCTTCACTATTTCTGCACTAATCCTTCTCTCCCGCATACTATCGCACGTGCGGGGATCCATCGATCTGTGGACCGTTCGCCTTTTACAATCGGAACGATGTTTACGACGTTTCCGAACATTCTTGAGACTCTTCAGGCTCGTTACCCCATTCATTCTGTTGTGATGGTTGTCTCACAAGTTTTGCACTTTTATTTTGTGTTTTTTCCGTGCTGATTCGATGCAAACCATGCTTGGCCGTTAGTGATTGAAAATGTCGAGTTTTATCAGGTCGTCCTGGGAAATTTCCTATGATCCTGCGCAGAGATTCTGAAATTTTTGTGTTAACTCTATTCTCAGTGAAACTGTTTCATTAATTCTGGAGGGAAAATCATGTGCTAAACAAAGTCAGATGTTCCTATTTTGCTTTTATCCTTAGACGGAGTATTGTGTCGTTTCTATGCCACCCGGTACCCTTCAGTAAGGAAGGATGGCGATAGTTAAAATAACTCATCTTTTTATAAAAAAATTGATATTAGAATTTATAATTCAAACACTTAGTTTCAAACATTTGATTTATAATTTTTGTTTCAACTAGGTTAATCCTAAATGCTTAGTAAAAAGATAATTTTTATTGATTTTCAAACTTAGTAGCTTGTCTGGGTCCGTCAGTAGGTTCAGTCCTTGATTTTTCGTCGATTATTTTGACCTTCTTCAAAGTAAAACCTTTGATATTGATGAGTTTACAATGTATCATTTGTAGTGACAAAAGATGATATATCAGTTCGAAAAGCATGTTTGAACTTTAGCTTTTTTTCCGCAATTTCTGCAAGGTTTATGTTGAAACTTAACAAATCATTGTTGATTTATTGCAAACTATTTCTTAGTCATTTTGAAAGAGGAACATTGAATTTAATAGCTTTTTGATAAAGCACCAATCCACTGTCAATTTCGCGCAGGAAGTTATAGTTAGTTTATATGAGTAATCAAGCCTGCTTTTGCATTCATCCTTCGTTTACCTTTCGTAAAAAGTGAGTGAAAACCCATGCTGTTTACATACACTCTTCCTCTTCCTCCTCGAGCGACAATTTTTCAAGCTTTCTGTATTAGAAATGCCAATATTTAACTCATATAAATTGTCTTGATTTCACTTTTATTAGACTTTCTTACATTAAAAAAAATATTCTTATCCTCCTTATTTGGCTAGTTTGCTTCGTCAAATGTTTCAAATTGTGAATTTCCTTTCAAACTGTCTACGCGACCCTGGCATATAGTTCAGTCCAAATATAGTCTACTCTTTGTTGTTTTGTTAAACGTAGCTTTTCCGCTGAATTAATTTGCTTTGCTGTTGAGAATCTTCTATGCCTTAGAACTGAGTGCTTCATAATTCTATGAAATTGCATTCCATTAGTTCTGCTGCTTTTTGTTCTTATTGCTCGACCAGTCCGAAATGTTGATCGATGTAGGAAAACTAGAACTAAGTTAAACCAACTTGAAGCCAACGATGCCATATGTGTTTGGTGAAATAAAAGCTGGAATATAGTTTTTTATTTCACTATGATGACCAACAGATACACTCTTATAAAAGTGAAGTCGTTCCTACCAGTTATCCGTTTCATAAAACCTTGTAGTCCTATGTTTGAAATTATTTCTACATTACTCTCTACAGTCCTCCTTATTCAGCGAAGCTTATTGTAATTGTTCCAACTCTTCCAAGAAAGAAGGATTATGTTGCTCGGAAGTCCGCACTCTCGAAGACATGAATTTTTCTCTTGAATGTGTGTTTGCACAGAGAAGATCCCCAGAATTATCAGTGAAAAAGTTTAAAGCAAATTGATGGGCAAAAATGCATTTATGCGCAGAAGGTTTCCAAGCATCAGTTCCTTTTTACTTACTAGGAATTGATAGGCTATGACATACTAGATTGTCCCAAAAGTAAACGGTATCAATCAAAATGTTTCTGTTTTCTAGAAGGCTTAAGGTATTAGTCAGTACTTGGTTGTCCTCTTTTCTTGAAACCTCGGCATGTCGTATGATTATGTTGAATGCCCTGATATGATTATGCTTAAGGTATTCGATAGATCCGCCTAAGTCGTAATTCAGGTAAACTTTGGAGCAAAAATCGAAAAATAACATCTGAAAATTGATGTTTGCGAAGAAAAATCCTACAGAATTTGGTCATTATACAGCAGACACATTGTAGTAGTCAAATATGCCTTTACTGGATTTTTTTGCGTTTAGATAGCAAGAAAAAAGATAGTCCAGAAATGGCAAACTCCGCCCCCAACCCCTCCCACATATGTCATTGTATACTACAAGCCTTAGTAACATAACCTTAGAATTTCACCTCTCTTTGAGAAAATAGCAAGTTATAAAAAAACCGAAGAAAGTGACATTGTTGCAATTTCGGGCCATTTTACTTTCTCACTTTTGAGCCCCCGAATAAATCTACCAAATACATTTTTGCACTACTATCTGTTTTCTATATAATGACTAAGCAGGAGGTCCGTAAGAATTTCCTGGAAGGGATCCGATTTTTTAGGTAATTAAAAATTTTTGATTTTTGGACCCAAATTTTACCTGGATCATGACTTAGACGAATCTTTGAAAGTTCTTTTGTAGAGCTGCTTCGCTCTATCGAATAGTAATCTAAGTCTGCTAGGGAAATAAATGCAGTTTGGTTTATCTAGAACTACGGTTTACTTTTGGGATAACCTGATATCATTAAAGCTAAAATTCATTCCCTCCATGGATAGTTCTGTATTTATACAAAGTGGTCTTCTATCACGCATTAATTTTCATCAAGCAAAGTCACTTGTCATCGCTAATTTGCGCATTTAAATGCCTTCTCATGTAACGAAAGGCATGTTCCATCAACATTATGTGTGCTTTTCGCGCATGGCTTTTATATACCATGAGTCAATGCCAAATCACTCACAGCTGTGGAATTTAAATTGTCAAATAAAAAGCGCGTGATTCTCGCCACATCATCTGCGCAAATCATGGAATTCTTTGCTAGTCTTCGGTCACAAATCATGGATTTTTTTGCTAGACTCCGGCAGCGAATCGCGGATTTTATTGCTAATATAGAGTAAGTATTTTTTTAACTTCTAGGTTTAGCGGTCATAAGCACATAAAAGTGGGCCATTGTGCTCTCTCGTTTGTTGTACCACATGTGGTCTTTGGTAGATAAAAAGACTACGGGAGTGTTGATTACGTATCAGGGTTCGTGAAGTTATGTGCATATAGTCCGCTGTCGAGCGTCAACGACGTATTGGAAACGCGGAATGGTCAAAGATAAAGATCATTTCTGCTGAAAAAAATTATTTTTGAGGATATCGTATTTCCTCCGGGCAATCCCAGTCCCAAGTTTTTGCATATACTATTTAATTTTCTATTTTTTCATGCCCTAGGTACCAACACGTGCACTAATTTCAATGAAAAATGATGTTTCAAGTTTCACTGCGATCCTCTTCCTCTGCAAGAACTAATCGAAATAAGAATTATCAAAATCTCATCAATAATGACGAAAGGTTGTAAGAGCTTTAAATCGGGGAAAGAACTAGCCTATTCTCGCATTTATTATTGATATAGTTTATTTTACCTCGAACTTGGGTAATTGAACCCTATAAGTCATACGCGAAAAAAAATGTATATGAGATTATTACTATGTAGGCTTCAAACACATCCAATACTCCTTGAGTGCATAAGTTCATACAGATAGAAATTCTTTTATTGTAAGCTTATCGTATCCCTACAGAGTGTGGTATTTTTGTATATATGTACATAAAAAATTGCCTCGCTTGCAGCTACTTGAATGTCCATATCAACATGATGATCAAAATTTTCCAGAAAGATGATCTCGACAAAGAACTCGCATAGCGAGAACGGATACGTTGATACAAACTCTTTATCAGGAAAGATCTCATCAGAAAAGAAGACCTCTTCAGAGTTCAGGGTAAACATTTAATCTGACTGTTGCTTTCCTCAGAAAAATCGTCTTTTTAGAATCCTAGAGTTATTTTGAGTGTTTCCATCCTATTTTGTATAAATTTGTTGAATTATATGGACAGGTATACTATAGCAGGTTGGTTTGACATCATGTTCTTTGCTTTAGTATCATTTGTGCTCTTGTTTATCAATGAAACCATAGGTTTAACAAGACCAGCCCAAAATCTACGTAGGTTCAAACTGTGCAACTGACTTGTTTTTACCTAAAAAAATAATTGAAATAATTCTACAAATTAACTTGGTGAAAAATTGTGGGGGGGGGGATGTCTAATTCTGGTCTAAAGAAAAGCTCTATTTCCATTGGTTTTGAATTCATAGCAGAAATGATAATAAGCGGTTGCACTACACTTTACAAATACTTCATTTTCTAGTTTTTCATTTTTTTTGCAGGGAGTGGCGATATTAGATAGTAGGAAAATATTGATCGAATTAACTTCCCACCAAGTTGCTTTATTCAATAACCATGAAGAAAGGCACGAGGCGGTAATTAACCCCTAAATTTTTCTTCGATACAAATGCTATAAAAATATTCGATTTCTTTTCTTCCGAAAAAAATACTTGGATAATTTTATAACTTACAAGCTTGCTTACCCGGCTCCGCTCGGCCCTGTCAAAACACTGTAATAAAGGTCCCATCCCTATCCCTGTACAGCCTTTCCCTGTGCCCACTTCTACACATCATTTCCCGTTCCCTGTGTTGTTTTCGAAATCAACATGCCCACTTCCCCCTGTGCCAACTTCCAGCCCTGTAGCTCAAACTTCGCAAAAAATCAATAAAATCGATAAAATCGATATCGATCGATAATGAAAAATAGCCTATGACACGCTCCCTGCCGTGAAGTATATGTGTGCCACGTTTGGTCCAAATCGGTCAAGAAATAAAAATTTTCTATTCCGCACATACGTACAGATATACATACATGGAAACATACATTCAGCTTTATACAGTGACCGCCAAAACGTTGCGGACAAGCCTCCCTCCCTTTTTCATCGCTCTATTTCAGAAGGAAATCAAGGATAAAAAAATGTAGTAATTGCATGAGGTGAGAGAGCTCTTCAAGGTTTACAATCTACACTTTGCGTTTTTCGAAAAACATGTATTCTAAAAATTTTAAAAAAACTTTTTCTGAAAAAAGTCCGAAAATGGCCGCGTCACAATGTCGCGGACAATAATTCTTCGAACGCAAAAATTTTCTTTTGAGTCCTATTTTAAAGCGGAAACACAAGTTATCCAAAGGGTAAGCATACTACTATACAGAGCTCGTCAAGAACTACACACTGGTTATGGTTGCTTCCCAGAAAACACAAGCTTGAATTTTATTTTGCTTCTTTTCAAACAACAACTTCTACTTCCCTGCTTCAAGCCAAAATTCTTCACATGGAAAACCATGCAAGACATTCAAACAAAGCTATTCGGATAAAATGGATGCCCTTTGCCATTTTCTGTGCATCGGACGTGTGCTGGTGAGTTTCTTTGCTGAAAATGGCTTCTGACAGCGCGTGTACATGACCCCACCTGCACCTCACCACTGACTTGTATCGCTTTGCAGGTTTGTAACTCGGCTTGTAGTCAATGTGTGAGCCTGCAATTAGGCTCATTCGAAAGAACGTGACCTCCTCTACACGATGGTATGCAAAAGAGTTGGGTATAAGAAACAGCGGAGATTTGGCGGATGGGGTGGAAAAACGCGGCCTCAGTGGTGGTTGGAGTGAAGGCTCTTATCAACACCAAAACAGTTCTAGAGCTTCAAAATGGATCTATTACAAGAACACTGACAGTTTTAAGCTTCCAGGATTGGACTGATAGCGAAAGAAGCTTTATTCAACTTTAGCTGGATATCCTCACCCTACCACTGAGGCCGCATTTTTCCACCCCATCCGCCAAATCTTCGCTGTTTCTTATACCCAACTCTTTTGCATACCTTCGTGTAGAGGAAGTCTCGTTCTTTCGAATGAACCTAATTGCAGGCTCACATATTGACTACAAGCCGAGTTACAAGCCTGCAAAGCGATACAAGTCAGTGGTGAGGTGCAGGTGGGGTTATGTACACGCGCTGTCAGAAGCCATTTTCAGCAAAGAAACTCACCAGCACACGTCCGATGCACAGAAAATGGCAAAGGGCATCCATTTTATCCGAATAGCTTTGTTTGAATGTCTTGCATGGTTTTCCATGTGAAGAATTTTGGCTTGAAGCAGGGAAGTAGAAGTTGTTTTTTGAAAAGAAGCAAAATAAAATTCAAGCTTGTGTTTTCTGGGAAGTAACCATAACCACTGTGTAGTTCTTGACGAGCTCTGTATAGTAGTATGCTTACCCGTTTGGATTACTTGTGTTTCCACTTCAGAATAGGACTCAAAAGAAAATTTTTGCGTTCGAAGAATTATTGTCCGCGACATTGTGACGCGGCCATTTTCGGACTTTTTTCAGAAAAAGTTTTTTAAAATTTTTAGAATACATGTTTTTCGAAAAACGCAAAGTGTAGATTGTAAACCTTGAAGAGCTCTCTCATCTCATGCAATTACTACATTTTTTTATCCTTGATTTCCTTCTGAAACAGAGCGATGAAAAAGGGAGGGAGGCTTGTCCGCAACGTTTTGGCGGTCACTGTATATACGATGAAAAATTTTTGGAAATGAGGGGTATGGGTGAGAGGCGGGGGAAGCGGGAAGCTCTCCGGCGCTCAGCTCATGTAACTCAATGGATTGGCTCAACCGAAACTGTTATGTTTAACTTTGCTTTCAGGTGTGCTAACAAATATTCAAACTTTCTACAAGATTGATGACGCCCAAGCGGGTTTATTACAAACTGTGTTTTTCATATTTTTTATGTTTTGCTCTCCAGTATGTGGCTTTCTTGGAGACAGGTAAGATTCATCAGCTCTTTTAGAATAGTGTTCAAATGATAGGCACTATCAAGGTATAACCGGAAATGGATCATGATTGTTGGTATAGCCGTCTGGGTGGGAGCAGTGTTCGGTTCCACACTCGTGCCTGCAGATGTGGGTTTCTTTGAGACAATTGTTGTTCATTCATTATAGCTAAGTTTGTTACAAAAATTTAACGCTAAGGTTCTGAGTTGTAATCGTTTTAGAAATTTTGGTTATTTCTTCTTTTGCGAGGTATTGTTGGAGTTGGTGAAGCATCATATGCAGTAATCTCACCGTCGATTATTGCCGATATGTTTACTGGGCAAAATAGAAGTCGAATGCTGATGATTTTCTATTTTGCAATTCCTTTTGGAAGGTAGGTAAAGAATTTTGAACCTTTACTGACTGAGAATCAATTTTTCTGAAAGTGAAAGTGATATCCTCTTCCTTCCTCTTTTATTTATTATATTGTTATTGCAAAAATAGAGTTGGGTTTTAACTAAGCCCTTTTTCCTTTTCTGATGAATGATGCAAAGAAAAAATTTTCTTATGCTCATCCTATTTTTTATTGTTCCAGTGGCCTGGGTTTCATCGTCGGTTCCACCGTCGCAGCTTGGACAGGCCATTGGTCATGGGGAGTACGAGTCACCGGAGTATTGGGTTAGTCAAAGGTGCAGGCAGCTTCACAAACAAATGATTCCATTTCTGTATTGGGATGTAACAGAATCAATGGGTTTTCTGAATTTTGTATTTGGATCGTTATAACTTTTCACACAAATATTCTTTTCGCCTGCAACAAAGATTTTTGCAATCAGCGACCCTTTTTCAACTCAATATGCATTGTTATTATGTTATTGTAGCACCACCGACAAAAATCTTATAGCCCGAACATTGCCGGGACTTTTTTTTTGGAAATCCTTCATTTTGAAAAACCACAACTTAATTTCAAATCTAGCACAAGTATAACTCATTGTGTAGCCTATAGCCGGTCGTGCAGCAGCGCTAAACTCGGACTTTACAAAGAATTTTTTGCCAGAGGATCTTTGAAAAATTTCAAAGTACTCATTTCTTCGATTTTTTCTGAGAATTTGAAAAATTACTTTTTTAAACTTTTGAAGTTTTCAATGCTGAACAGGCAGAACGGCTCCCAATTTTTCCAGTCATAAAGTTCTAAGTCTATTCTTCCTATATAAGCGGAAGCTCCGCAGTCGCTTCGCGCTGAGGATTTTATATATATAAGGCAGACGACCGCAACGGCCGTTGACCTTTGCTTTGAAATTTATTGGCTCGGATACTTTCAGAAGCCATGATTCAATATGCATCTTGTAAAATAGCTTGCTGAAAAATACCATGTAAATCTGCAGGGGTTATCGAATATTTGTGGTGATTAAGAGTCAGGTTATCAAAATGAAAAACTCCAAGAGTTGGTCTCTCAAATTCATGGGCTCAGAAATTCTAAATGAATTCACCTCGACTGAAACGAAAAAAATGCGTAAGAAATAAGAAGGAAAGAGCTTTCAAATGTAATGTAACACTCTCTAGAAATTTTTTTTTTCTAAACCAGCATTTTGAGAAAGGTGTGCGAAAAACCTGTATTAATTCTGTTACAACTAACAGCAAAATGTGATGCCAAACCTTCATAGAAACAGCATCAGAAATTTATCTACTCACCTGCCAAAACACTGAAGCAGTCCTGATCTAGTTTATAGAAGGAACTTCATGGATTCTGTGCCAAGGTTTTCTGTCATGAGAGTCTTAACAGAAGAAAGTAGTTTCCAACGCAAGCTTTGTTCAAGCTTTTCAATTTATCTACTCAAATATGCAGATGACACACATCAGGCAGGACAGTGACGATATACGCGCAAAAACGTGCATGATGCTTCATATTCAAAGATATAACAATAAATTTTTAAAATATCGTCGAGATGGTCCCTGCTGTGTAGAAGAACTAAATCTCAACAATGTTTTCGACCATGGGACAAAGGACAAGCGTCCTCAGAAGGTGTTGCGAAATTTGTCAGAAGTGACCTTAGACCGGATCCGACAATGTCATGAATATCATAAGACATCAATAGCAGTACATCGGGAACCAAATGGACAGAAACGATGTTTCTCCGAAAGTCAAAAATCACATCGTATTAAGATTGAACAACTTTTTTATAACTCTAAAAATGAAATGAAAATTTGTCAAAATTTGGAATGGCTTACGCCACTAATCTAGTCCAGTTTTGCAAGACTCAATGACAGAAGTTTTGAATATGCTCTTTTGCTTCATACGAATAATCCTGGAAGTAGGAAGCACATTTTTTGAATTTTGTCGTACACTCTCCTTCTCTTTCCATTCTCCATTCCATCTTTCCAAAAAAGTCTCCAGTAGCATTAGCCATATCTTCTTTGACCAAGGCTATTTCCACTAATTTTCGAAAACCACGGTAGTATTGAAAAATCTTAATTGATCTAGTTTGACTACTACTGATTTTTTAGGTATATTATGCCTTGTAATGATCATACTCTTCATCCAAGAGCCGGAACGAGGGGCTGCAGAACGAGAAAAAGGTGAAATAGCTGCAGAAGTGGTAAATACCAGCTATTTGGATGACATCAAGGCTCTTGCAACGAAGTGAGCATTGATTGTGCACTATGATTATAACCTAGTAGATTTGACGGTCGAAATAGTGCTCATGCGTCGATGACAACATTTGCGCGTAAGCAGGTGCGCTCTACGGCCATTTCTACGCACGAGTTGTAAAGGCTGCCGCATTTATTACAAGCATGACATTTGTTTGCGTGCAAATGCTGTCATCACCGCTAATGCACTATTAACCGTGGAACCTGGTAGAATTTACTCTAGAAAGGTCAAATGTTAAGCTTTTAGCCTGACCTACGTCTTCTCCACTGCTGGTTATACTGCTATCGTGTTTGTGGTCGGAACATTGACATGGTGGGCACCTACAGCCATTGAACATAACGAGGCATACAAGCAAGGACTGAACAGCACCGGCTTGTTGGACCCAGATTCCAAAGCTCAGTGAGTTGGTGAATTTTGTGTACCTAATTGATAAGTTTAAAAAAATTTGAGAAAAAAAGGTTTACAGTTTGATTTATGCCAGCTCCCAGTAATGAATTACATGGGGGGGGGGGGAGGTTCTTTTCAAATGAAGAGGAACAGCATTGAACACTCTTTCGGAAAAATTTTCTAAAATGCTTTCAATGTTCTTACCGAGTTCATAACAGTGGGTTTTGAAAAAAAAATTGTTTCTGACTGTAGCCAGGTCAGGGCTCAGCAGAGGTAGCGCTTTCACAGTGTGGAAGCGTTTTGTGAGAGGAAAGCAGAAGGGAACTTGCACAGTTTTCAGGGGTGATTCGCGAAAATTCAACAAAATACTAAAACCACAAAGCTAACTCTTAGTGAGCCCTAATTTTGAGCTCTGAAGTCATTTCACCAGTAAAAGGTAGGTTGACACGTTACAAACACGATAAGTGCTTAGACCCGTGTGCACATGATTTCAACGTGTTAGAAACAAACAGTTCGTTTATAATCGGTAAACAATACTAAGATACCAAATTTGATGTGTACCTTCGCGACGACGATAAAAAGCAAAGTATGAAAAATTACGAAAAAATTATATGTATGAGCGGAGTTGCGTTTTTTTAATTTAGGTTTAGGTTGCTCCCGCGCAACCTGAGAGCACCCTGAGGTTGCGCGGAACTCAACAAAGTCATAATTTTCTCCCTTCTTCGCATAATTTTTCAAAAATTTCTGAGTCTATTCTTCATTTCAAACACACCTACGAGTACTTACCTTGAACCAAACTTACTCTGCTTTGCTATGGCCATTGACGACATTCAAAATCGCCTTTTTCACGTGTCGCCTTTATTTCCGATTTTCCCTGTCTTTTCTTACTTCCATTCACTCACCGTTTGCTGCAATACGTCAGCCGTACTTCTACAAACACCACAAAAGGTATCTTGTGATCTTCTGCAATGTAAATGAGGACTTCGTTTTCAAATTTTCAAAATGCTACCTCATGCTGGGCCCTGAGCCAAGTCGCAACAAGTTTTTGTGCCGCGATAATTTGACTCTGAAACAAAAATGCTGCAGTATCTGGCATAACTTCGTGGTTGTATGAAATTGAGAATCCTGCAGATTATTTACTTATACTACACTAAAATGTAAAACCTCTTCACTCAGGATCAATCTTATTTTCGGCGTTATTACCTGTGTCGGAGGAATCGCCGGTGTTGCTTTGGGATCGTCCTTATCCATGGTAAGCCTGACCGATACTTCTGCTATTCAGTTGTGCAAGAAACTCTATTTAGTTTCTCCGCTCTGGCTATGGGCCGTTCAGGTTTGTCCAAACCGTACGATCGGATCCGATAATCTGTGGAGCTGGAGCGCTCATTGGCTTGCCGACGTTGTTTTTCTCGCTTCGAATGATCCCAACAAGCATGCCAGCAACCTATGCAAGTCAATTATGTTTCAAAATTATCCAATAGAAATATGGAGCGGCAGTTGTCGGTGAAGTTTTGAAGACAGAGAAACTCTTCGGATTTTTGGCTGGAAAAGATGATATTTTTTTAATGAGAGGCGATCAAAAAACAGTCACTAAATCAGCGATTAGTGTATATTTCGATGATCGCAAAACTAAATTACTGATTATGGTAAATCGTAGATTATGGTACTCAAGAAATACATTAGCTGATCCCTATTTCATCTCCTATCATCTCCTAACATTTCGAAAATTTATGTTTCCCAACGAATAATATTCTAATGTGCAAAACTGACAGCTACTGAATCGCAATCAGATTGACTTCCTCTCATTTACCTCCCTTAGTTTAACCGCAAATTTCAGATCCTCATGTTCATAACAATTACTGCAACTTGCTTTAATTGGGCCACAAATGTTGATATGCTTATGGTAAGTTTTACTATGTTCTAAAGCTCTATGCAAAATTGTATGATTATGGGAGATCTCGATCTAAGCAGGGAAGGACCCAAAGTTGAAATCAGCTTTCCAAATGAAGTGTGTACCAACTTAAAAAGTATCAAATGCTCATTTCAAAGCTGTCTTTGTATTTTGCCAACGCCTCTAGGTGTTAAGTTATGAGTCCTTTTTTTTTGAGCGAAAATTATTAGCGAAATCGAGGTAAAGTTAATGGTTATGGTATTTCCAGGCTCAAATAAAGAAGTGTTGAGTCCGATATTAGAAGAAGGTTTTTCATACATAGAGTGCGATGATATCCAGTGCTGGGCCATTTGGGCAATTTAGGACGAATTTGTCTCATTGACAGGTTATAACTCAGCGTCTAGAGGGCTTGGCAGATAATAAAGACAGTTTTGGGGTTCAGCGTTTAATGCTCTTCACATTGTTACATATTTCATGAAGAAAGCTGATCTCGACTTTGGCTTCTTCCCTTGTAAGTGCTATGGTCCGCGCGGAGCGGGTCCTCGCGAGCCGGCGCGTCTCGGCCACTCGACGAATTCGCAAACGTGTCTCGAGGCATTCCCAAACTCGTCAGCCATTGATACTTAAGAGTACGGTATTACCTACGCCTCAATCATGGAAAAATAGCGTATCCGTTGAGGGCGAACGCGGCGAGAGACCCAAGCGAGGCGGCTCGCCGGGGCAGCACCGACCGTGACACTCAGACTGAAATCTCTTGTACCTTACAGATCTACGTAACCGTGAAGTAGTTTTAGCTAAACTGACCAACACAACTTTTCATTCCATAATTCACAAAAAATCGCTTAGTCGAGTTACCATCCCGGTGATCGCGGATCGTGGGTACACCATGTACGGCCTCGGACAGAGTTCACGCGATTCGATCATCGAGATTCACCGCTACAAGACAAGCGTTACGTGTTCATTGCATGCGGATCTTCTTGTATTTCGGTTGTGATAGCTAGTCGCGATTAGTCGTGTTGAAAAACTATCACAACCGAAATGCGAGAAGATCGGCATGCAATAATATAGTGCGGTTTAAAATTATACGAACACCCCAAATTTTAGAAATTTCTGGACTATTTAGATGAGACTCAAAAGCCGTTGGAACCACGAAAGAGCACAGCCGAAAACGGTATACGATTCACAAGAATGGAAATCAATGTCAATCTTAGGAGTGTTTTTGCGCCTAATGCGAATTTTAAGCGGTTCATAATTATACGAACACCTCAAACAAAGGTCCATTTTTCATTCAAGATTGCAATCATTTGAGTCCAAATTTTTTGTAGAGTTACAGTAACAAAGTTTGACATATCTGCTACACAGTGAACCCAGTGCAGTTCGAAAAGAGGAGCGTTACTTATTCCAAATGCCTCTAAATGCTTTTGGAGTCATTGCGCTCCAAAAACGTTCGCTTTTTGTGGTTTGCGCATTCTAACTAACTTTTACCAAGTCTAGAGATAAAATAAGCTCTTTCGATAGATACTTTGTTTGACGCTCGCAAAATCTCTGCATTTTCGTGCCGTTTTTCAACTACCTAAGTTAAAAGCTTATCCTATAGTAGGCAAGATTTCGAGCCTCAAAACTTGGCTTCTAAAACCTACAATGAAGTAAGCACATAGTATGTAGAATTCACAGGACTGTGTATTTAGTTTCAAAAAAATCAGCAGCGTTGAACGTTTGTTTTGGCCACGCAGACGTCACTTCATCAAAACCACTGTTTTTATAATATTATTGCAACCACACCTTTACTTGGTTTTTAGCTCCATAGCCTCAAAACTAATTCTGCGAAAAACCAAAAACTTTGGCGCGGGTACATCATCATGCAAACAATGCAGCTGCTTCATAGTAAATGTTTGCGCGCGAGAGAAGCTGAGTTTTGAGGCTCGAAATTGTGCCTACTCTAGGGTAAGGTTGGAACCATACCTTCAATAGTCTAGAGACAGGGCGCAAAAAGTGAAGGTTTGAACATATGACGTCATAAATAGTGAAGCTTGTTTAAAGAAGTTCAGAGAAGGGAATATGACGTAAAACAGATATAAAAAGCAAAAGAAACTGCTGAAAACCGGATAAAAACGCTGCAAAGAGGATTGAAATCTTTAATTTGGATTCTTTTCAAAGTTTTTCGCTCCAGGACCAGCAATTCGCAAACGGGGTTTTGATTTTTGATGTTTTTTTTAAATTTTTAACTCCGCACTGACGTTCCTATTTCCTGGGACATTGTCTGGATTGTTGCGCTTATTGTTCTGAGCAATAATCGCCCAAGCTGGAAAAAAATCGATGCGAAAGCACTGAAACAGAACAAGGTAAAGAAAAACGCACTTTTTACGATTTTTCGCAAAAAATTCCACCATTATCGAAGAGGTAAGGGCTGGGTGGTTGCCTGCATTATGAACAGAAGCAAGATCTATAGAACACGAAAAAACCGCGTGAAAATAGTTGAACCAGGACAACAAAGTGTCTATCGAAAGAGCTTATTTTATCTCATAGAATTGGTAAAAGTTAGTTAGAATGCGCACCACAAAGGACGTTTATAGAGCGCAATGACTCCATGAGCATTTAGAGCCATTTGGAATAAGTAACGCTCCTCTTTTTGAACTGCACTGGGTTCAGTGTGTAGCAGATGTTTCACACATTGTTACCGTAACAGTAGAAAAAAATTTGGGCTCGAAAGATTGTACTCGCGAATGAAAAATGAACTTTTGTTTGAGGTGTTTGTATAATTATGCACCGCTCAAAATTCGTATTAGGCGCAAAAACACTCCTAAGATTGACATCGATTTCCACATTCTTGTGAATCTTATGCGGTTTTCGGCTGTGCTCTTTCGTGGTTCCAACGGTTTTTTGAGTTTCTTTCAAATAGTCCAGAAGTTTCTAAAATTTGGAGTGTTCGTATAATTATGAACTGCACTGTATTGTTACAGTTGCCTTGTCGCGATCAATCGCGACGATAAATTCGCGTAAACTCTGCCCGAGGCCAAGCGCCTACTTTAATCACCTCTTGCTAGGTTCGAGCTGTTTTAAAGAGAACGTTTGAGGCTTTTTTGTTGTGAAGCTTGCCTGATAAGTGACAGAAGTTACCAACGCACAATTTTTTTTTGAAATTTAATACAAAATATGTTCGAGAACTTTCTTGACATTGCTGCATTAGCCTACAGTCATGCAGCTTCAAGAAAGTTTGTTTTTTGGGACTAAGTTCGCTGATGGAAAGGATATACTCCAAGTTGGCGTGGGAATCTTAAGTATTTATATACGCTATACTTAGAACCGAATATTCATGTTCTAATGATTTATTCAAAATATTCGACTATTTGAATATTCGAATAGTCGAATGTTCGAAAAATCCAATTACTTGATTATTCGAATAGTCGAATTAATGAAAAAGGCCTGTATTCGAATAGTTCGTTCATTCGACTACTGGAAAAATGAGTTGTTCGAATATTCGTTCATTCGAGGAGCTTTAGAAGAGAGTTATTCGAATATTCGAATATTGAATATCATTCATTCGAAATTCGATGTCAAAAGAAAAGTTTAGCTGTTCTACATTGAGTGCAAGTATTTTCCTGATCGGTCAAACATACAAATGATTGTTCATTTGAGAGAATGTCTAGCAAGGTCTAGTGATTGTAAAATTCGCGTAAACTCTGCCCGAGGCCAAGCGCCTACTTTAATCACCTTTTAAGGCAATCGCGAGTAATGCCACAGAATGGTGATGACAGGTCTTATGCATACGCAAATACTTCCAAGTCAAATTTGGGTAAAGAAACAAAGCCGTCATTAGAGGCCACTTTAGCGGACTAATCGGTCCTCAATCAGCTTGGCACCGGAGAGTTTTTGTGAGGGGGTATATGTCAAGATGAACGATAGCTGGTAACAGTGGCGCGCGGTGTCATGAACTGGCAATAACGTGCTCGCTCGAAGCTCCGCCTTAGTTCGCTTGAAACAAAATTCGCCTATAATGCTTGTTTTGAATTCTCGTCGCAATGAAATCTGTTTTTAGTTATGATTAGGTTCTAAAACTTACTTTTCCGATAAAACATATAATGGTGTTTCATTTCATAAGCTGAATTTTTTTGCAACTGAACCTGAGAGTGCACATCAAAGCATATTCAATATGGTAACAGATGCAAATAGAGATGAACATTTTTCCAAGCATTTTCGAAACAATTTCCTCATACCTGCAATGAAAAATCATTTTGGACAAGCCTACTAGGAACAAATAACTGAAACACATTAGAAAGAGCTTGCGAACTAATTTTGTAATGCAAAATGATCTGAAAACTGATTTTTAATTCAACTGAAATTTGTATTCTACTGTTACCCAAATTGCAACTAACTGAAGAAGCAGAACGAAGTACTAGAGAGTTTTCTAATAGGTGCAACGCATTCCAAGGCTAATTAACAGGGGCGGAGCGACCAGCGCACCGCGTACGATACCCAGCTGGCGGTTGGCACATGCTATCGTTCATCTTGACCGCCACCCTTTGTGAGGCAAAAAATTTGGGCGTGGCAAGGGGCCGCCGCGCGCGGCGTGACTCCTGCCCGGAGCCGGCGGCGGCAACCTGTATATCAGTCACCATACTCACAAGGGGATGGTCAGAAGTCGAACTGGCCAAACCAAACAAGCTGTATACGATTTGATGCAGCATAAAACGCTGACTTCGAATCTTCTTTCTTAACTGCTTACCGCTTCTGTGGACGAAGTTTCAAGCAATTTTATTGCGAAAAAATCGACATAAAATTGCGAAATTGAGCGCACGGCAGCACACATTGTTGCACTTTGAGCTGATCTTCAGGCTTTAAGGATTTGAAGTAACCTAGTTGCATGGGCCCAGCATTGAGCCGAACATTTCGTACGGCCAAGCTTTCACTTTCACGCATAATTTCTTAGCAAAAGTGGCCTTTAATGGCTTATAGTTTCGTCCAGAAAACGACAAGCAGATAAGGAAGACAATTTAGAGTCAGCTTCATGCTGCATCTAATGGTTTGCCCTGTTCGGAATGACCACTTTGACTGACCATTCCTTTGTCAGATCGGCGCCTTTATAGTCAGGAGACGTAAAGACTAGAGTCAAAATGTTGCAGAGTTCATGGAGGAATAATTCTTTGAGTAAGTGCGTAGGTTGAACAATATTTATTTTGAACCTAACAATAAGTAAAAGATGTGGAGGACCCTTGCAACAAAAGTGCAAACCTCAAAAATACAGCTAAACAACTTTGTGAAAATTCAGTCCTACAACAGAAACTGTGAAACTCAGCGATTGATAATTTCCGACAAGTATTAGATTAGCACCTAATATACAGATATACCCATGACTTTTTTTGGATTCAGATGCTCACAAAAAATTATGTAGAAAACAGTGCGTCAATTCTGCTGCAGAGGTTCACTGATTCTATAACTGTAGCCCTTTCTCGTGCTCTCTCAATGCTGGCCTTAGAACTCGCGCAATGCTGACCATCACGAGTAAATTACAGCCAATTACCTATTATAAAAAGTTTTTCACGTTGAATCTGTAGCTTTGGGAGAAGGTTCTGTGTAGCTTCGGAGGGACTTTAGTGAGAAGGAATAAATGCGAATTTGAAACGCTGCTAAGTGATGCTTATTAGCCCTCTTAAAAGACAATGAACATCTTGAAATACATGCTTGAGTAAAATTCTTTGTTTTTTTTTAAGTAGAATCGTGGCCAAGCGGCAGTAGCCCAGTCATTATTACCACCTGCTACGCATCAACTATAAATCATCAGCTATAAATCTAGATCAAATATAGCGACTAATTTTTTTGCAGAAAACAGCAACAAAGTAGAAACCAGAAAATTTTGAGCCACTAGCTAATATTCGAACTATTCGAACAGTCGAACATTCGGGCAGGTACGATTATTCGAATATTTGAATAGTCGAATATTCGACCATATGTAGTTATTTGATTATTCGAATAGTCGAACATTCGATCAACCCCATTTATTCGAATATTCGTTCATTCGAATTTTGAAATGTAGTATTATTCGAATATTCGAATTCGAATAATCTGAAAATCACAGATCGAATAATATTCGCTCGTTCGAATATTTTTCAAAAACTGATTATTCGATATTGTTCGTTCGACGAAACTTTTCGGTCGTTTTAACTATAGTACACACCTCTCCAAAACTTCCAAGAACAATATTGTAAATTATGAGCTGTCTCAGTATGGGTGTTATAAAGCTTCAGCAGGTCGAATCTTGGCGGCCGCCTCTTCCGGCTTTGCGCAGCGTCCGCAAGCGTAACCTTTGAACACTCCCACGTCCAGCAATCAGTCTCTGCATCAGGCGTGGAGAAATGCCTTGAGACCTTTGACGCATGCAAAACCTGAGCGAAGCGGCCGCGACGACCTGAGACGCTGAAGCTTCGACGATTACATTGAGACAGTCTGTATTTAGCAAGTAATGACATCCTGCGAAATTCCGCAACAACTCGTAGTTTCAGTACAAGGCTAAAATTTTCTTGATAGCACTGGTATACATCAATACAAAAGGCTTGAAATTACCTTTGACTGATAAAAAAGGCAAAGATCACTGATCGGTTTGCAGGCCGTGGTTATACCATCTCGACGAAACGCAGCAAATTCATGGCAAATTCTGCTATCTCATATGTTTGGAGATGCATCAGGACCGTATATCATAGGCATGGTGAGGGAGTTGTTTATCGTCTTCCGTCAGATTTGGCTCTGTCCAATCTAGAGATCTTCCATTCAATCTAATTTTCTAGATTTCCGATGCCATTCGTGGAGATGACTCATCTCCCTATGGACACTATCATTCGCTAGTGATATCCTTTTATCTCCCAAACGCATTACTTCTAGTCAGTGCAGTGTTGTTTTTCGTATCTGCGTATACATTCGTCAAAGATAATAACAAATTCAAGGAGTATATGGGTAAGATGTTGGCTGATCCATTTTGTCTGTTCGATTCGAATGCTTTAGGTGTTGCTGGAACATCAAGTGACAAGAATATGGATGGTGACTTGTCACTGGCAACAGGAAGGGATAATCGAGCATTTTCGGTGACAGATAGGGAAGAAGCAGAGACTACGAAGATCTGATTACACTTTTACGGGAACCTGCTAAGTTAATGTACATTAATCACGTCTTTCTGTAACTACTGCAAGCGATGTAATTAAATATTGCTCAACTGCATAGAGCGAAAACCTAGTGATAGATAGACAAGCAAAATATTTGAAAAATCTCCGCGAATGATCGAAGGCAGTGTCAGTGAAAAGGACGTCGTGATATTTCATCATCAGTGCCATATGGAAGCAAATGACCCAGGCACGTAAGCGCAGCCGTGCGAAGTGGTAGCGTTGAACGAAAAGACAGAAATCCGATTTGGGAAGTTGGGGGACTAAGCCCTAAGACTTCCCGCAATCCCATCAAAACGCTGCAGACTTAGCCGTTTGCCAAAATCCACAATTCATCGTGCATAGGATTAAATGTGTCCCCTTGAACGCATAGGCGTGCAGCTTTTGTAGGTTGTCGCGAACGCATCAAGTCTGGGCCCCCAAACGCGCTTACGAGGTTTCATGAAGAGTGTTCAGATGGCGCAGCGATTAGAATGGCGTGAGGTATGCCTTAGGCCACAAGAGCCTTTCCCATCTGATTTGCTGCTCTGCTGCGAATTTCGCATGCCTTCACATAATGATCAAACAGTAAGTTTCAACCCACTTCAAGCGAGGAATTGGCGCACGTCCGCCTCGCAGTGGTTCGCACCGTTTCCCATGTACAATTCATTATATGGGGGACGAGTGACGCAGTGGTATGAGGCGTCCCTTTGACCACGTCGAACCCAGGTTCGATCACGCTGTAAGTCAATCAAGCCCTCTATTTTAGGGACGATAAATTGGTACCGGAGTAATTTTGGAAGAATGAAAGCGCTGACTTAATAATCGGCTGGCCTCCGCGAGTCATGTGAAAGGCTCACACGCATAAGAATTTGCCTCTTCGACTAGTGGTGCGCATTCGGCGCATGCTCACAGAGGGCATTGAAGACCGAACCCTTTATCCCTTCCAAACCCTCTGTCCTTTATCCTTTAATATATCATATCGTGGTAAGAAGCCATGGCTGCTTCTTGTCATTCTCTTCATCAGTGCTTGGCAAAATCCTAGCGGTGTGTGCTCGTAGAGCCTCCAGCGATGCAGACGCGTTGCTCCACATCACGTTTCGCCTATCCCGGGTTGAAATACACTATAGATTTTTTGAGATTCTGCATTACATATCAGTCTTGGCGGTATTTGTTCTGCGTAAAAATTCAACCTACCGTCGAGTAAGTTTTCTGCTTAATATAGTGTCCCACAGATGCGACAACGCTTGTGCGTCAACAATTGGCGTTGCGAGTTTCCGCCAGTGTATTCTATTTCTTGGCTCATTCTTTGCCTCAGGCGTCGTTGCTTTCTCAGATGTTCACGAGAAAGCACGTCGTGCTAGTTTCATGTGCATTTTACCGTCACTTCGTGCCTCTTTCTTTTTGTGAAGCATTTCTTTGCGCTAATAGGTTTCTAAGTTTTACTGCTTCTATACAATTACTCGATTAACAGCTATTTCTTTTCGGATGAAAGTTGTTGTAGCGCAAGCTTACTAGCGTTCAAAGAACTGCACAGGGAGAAGGAGGTAAAATTTGACGAAAGAAAAGAACGTGACCAAAAATACACATGAACTGGCGCGACGTACCCGAATAGCTGAGAGTAAGTGATGAAATTACTCAGAAACAGAAACTGCTCTCTTATTTACCTTCTTCTCGTTTATCAGCAACAACTTACCTGAAAACGAAGAATAAGCAGAGAAAACGCTATAAACGCTTGCTCGGGAACTTGCTAAGGCAATTTTTTTTATCCTTGCATTCTCCCGTCACTCGGGGTCTGCCGCTCTCGTCAATCTTTTCCATTTTTCTCGGTTTAAGGCCTGCTCTTCTCTTATACCAAGCTCTCTCATATCTGCTTTGACTTTATCCAGCCATCTCATCTTAGGTCTTCCTCTTGGTCTCTCCCTGGCACTTCCACTGACATGGCCAATCTCGTAATGTGGCTTTCTTCTCTTCGGCTTACATGTCCATACCACTGTAGACGTCTTTCTTGCATCTTCTTTACAATGGGTGTCACTTTCATTACGCTTCGTATAGTGTCATTCGGGACATGGTCTAGCATCGTCACTCCTGTGGTCCATCTCAGCATTCGTGTTTCCATTACACTGATCATTCTTTCTTCGTCACGTGTACATGGCCAGCATTCGCTTCCGTATAGGGCCGTCGGTCGAACTGTCGTGCGATATATCAGGGACTTCAGCTTTCTTGGCATCCGCTTATCACATAGGACTCCTGTGAGGCTTCTACACTTCATCCATGCGGCGTTCACTCTACTGCTTATCTCATCGCGGAGGTTGCCATCTGCGGAGATACGGCTTCCCATGTACTTGAAGGAGGTGGTCTTCTTGAGTTGCGTGTCTCCGATCTGGATTGTCCCGGGTGTCTGTGTTCCCAGTTCCATATACTCCGTTTTCGTCATGTTCAGCTTCAGTCCATGCATCTCAAGCTGATCCTTGCACTTCTGCACTTCCATCTGGAGCTCTCTTCTGCTTCTTGCCAGTAGGAGAACATCGTCTGCGTACATGAGCGTCCATGGTGGTTGTCGTATGAAGCCGTCGACCATTGCATCTATGACTGTGTTGAACAGGAGCGGTGAGAGTACAGAGCCTTGGTGTACGCCGGCTCGTATCTGGAATTCTTTCGTCTGTCCCGCTGCTGTCTGTACGTGGCTGGTGGCATTCTTGTAGATCATCTTCGTCCATTGCACGTACTCTTCTGGCACCTTGTGCTTTCGTAGTGCCCACCATATGATGTCGTGTGGTACCTTGTCGAACGCCTTCTCCAGGTCGAGGAACGCCGCATGTAGTTCACATTGCTTCTCCCTGCTTCTTTCTATCATTATTCTGGCGGTATGGATGGCATCTGTTGTGCTACAGCCCTTCACGAATCCACACTGATTGGGAGCTAGTTCTATGATGCTTCGGAGTCTCGTTTCTAGTATTCGTTCGAAGATCTTCAGCGTGTGACTCGTTAGACGTATGGGACGATATGTGGAACAATCGGCTATGTCTCCTTTCTTCTTCCATACTGGAATCGTTGTGCTTTTGGACCAATCGCGCGGCATCTTTTTGGATTCGATTATCCGATTGAGAAGCTGTGTTAGCCAAGTGATTCCAGCTTGTCCGCACCTCTTCCAGAATTCACTGGGAATGTCTCTGGGCCGGTTGCTTTGCCGTTCTTCGTCTTCGCTATGGCTGCGCGAACTTCATCTTCTGTGATGTTTTCTACCGGTCCTTGTACCGTCTCAGCTACTATGGTAGATGACATTTGGTAGCTTGTAGATGCTATTCTCTCGAAGTGTGCTCTCCATCGTTCGCTTATCTTCTCTGGACTTCTTAGAATTCTTCCGTACTCGTCTTTGATGTTGTAGAAGTGGCTTGTATCTTCTGTGGCTTTTGCTCTTCTCCTTGTGATTCGGTAGATATCACGTTCGCCTTCTCGAGTGTACAGCTTCTTGTAGAAGTCTGCTATGCACGCTTCCTTCGCTTCTCTTACGCTCTTCTTTGCTGCACGTTTTGCGTCTACATATTTCTGACGATCGTCTTCTAATCTTGTCTTCTGCCACAGTTGGTATGCGAGCTTCTTCTTGATCACAGCTTGAACATCCTCACTCCACCACCAAGTTTCTTTCTCAAGTCTTGCCTTTCCTGGTTTTGTAAATCCCAGCAGGTTTCCTGCCATCTGATGAACGTTCTTCTTCAGATTCGTCCAAGAACGCTCCGGTTCGTCTTTTAGGAGTGGTAGAGCTGATTCCATAGCAGCTTTGGATCGAGCGTCGTCTTTGAGCTTCCACCACTTGATGCGTATTCTGTCCTCCGTCATTGCCTTTCTTCGATTCTTGACTGGGATATTCAGATCTAGAATGAGTGGTCGATGTTGTGGTACACATTCTTCGCTAGGGATCACTTTGCAGTTCTTCACGTACTTGAGCTCCTTTAGTCGTACCGCCCGTCAGTCTATTTGCGATTTTCGATTTCCGCTGGCATACGTTACTAGGTGATCGCTCTTCTTGATGAAGTAGGTGTTTGCCAACGCCAATTCATGAGCGGAAGCGAACTCCAGAATTCGATTGCCTTCTTCGTTGCGGATCCCATACCCGTGATTTCCGTGACTTCTACTCGCACCACTTCGCTGTTCACCGACATGGCCGTTAAGATCTGCTCCAATCAGTAGCGTTTCTTCTGAAGGTACACATCTGATGTAGTCATCTAGTTCTTGCCAGAAGCCATCTTTCTCTTCTACCGTGCAACCTGCTTGGGGTGCGTATGCGGTGAATACTCGGAGAACTCGCTCACCCACATCTAATGTGATGCCCATGAGCCGGTCACTGAATCGATCTACACTTGTTATACTATCTCTTAACCGTTCCGCTTTTGCGTTAATAATTGCTAAGGCAATTATTAACGCAAAAGCGTTGCTGCGTCTGCAGTATACTTTGGACCGAATCGCATATATGTTCAAGTTTTCAAATAAAGTATTCGAATAAAATTTATTCGAAATTTGATTATTCGAAAAATTTAAAATCTCGAATATATTCAATATTCGCTTATTCGAGAATTGTCATTTTTCGATAATTCGACTATTCGAAAATTTTGTTTTTCGAATATTTTCAAACATTCGAACATCTGATTTCGGAAGTTATTCAATTATTCGACATTTTCGCGTAATCGAATAACTAGATGCTCTAGTGGTTTTGTACTCTTGTCTCCCTTCCTCTTTCAATTGTGTTTTCTTGCTTTTACACGTCATTCCAAATTGCAAGCCGGTCTCGCCACGACCACCCTGTTTCCGCACGGATCTATCATCAGTTCAGTAATACGCGTTACATTTTGAGTATATCAGCTTGTATGTTCCTTAAGTTGTATACTGCTGAGAGTCTTTTCTTGTACTATTCGACTGAGATTTGTTTAAATATTCGACATAGTTTATACAAAGTATTCGTTTATTCGAAATTTTTTCTTAAATATATTCGAATATTCGAAATTTTTTCATTTCGAGTTTATACGATATTCGATTATTAGGACATTTGATTTTGAAAAATATTCGA